AGCATGTAGCTTATCCAAAGTCTTACAGACATCCACTGCTAGCAATAGGCAGGCTTGAGTGCTCTGATGCGTGTGAGCAACACTTACAGCTTTTAATCCATAGAGACTTTGCAGCAGTGGGTAATTATCATTATTACCCCACCGTATAGATGAGGAAACTGAGTCACTGAGGCATGAAGTGATTTGCCCAAAGAGCAGAGTGAGTCAATGGGAATGCTGGGAATAGCGCGCAGAATTCCCTGCGTTATCCATTGGAGTCGTCCGATAATATCATTTTATAAATGCTCTATCTTTGTAAAGACTTCAGTGCTATAATTATCTTCCCAGGACTCTCACGGAAACAAGATATTTATAACTCCATTAAGCCTTTCCTAGCAATTTTATGATCAAATTGAAAAAAATAAATTATGCTGTGCCGATCAGTCGCATGTCCAATGTCATTCAGAATGCCTACATGATGAAAGCTTCTCCTTGGTTGTTTCAGTTAAACGCTTGCTATCTTTTGAATGCCTTTCTTGCGTCCAGTTCCCCTTCCACTGCATACCGGTGGAGAGGAAGTATTTTTTGCCATGTGATGAGCCACGCATTTAGAATGTACCAAATAACTGGGAAAGATGCTTGCTGCCAATAAAGCCTACTGGTTCATGCTATAAATGTGACCGTTTAAAAAAAATATTTTTCCTGAAAGCCCTCAATGTTTGCCAGGTTCACCTAAAATGAGCAAAGCTACCTCAGTATTTCCACTAACCTTTGTACATCTTTAAAATTGCAACACAGATGCCAAGGCTAACTGTAAACAACGGGCTAGCAACTGAGGCATTTGGACCCTGGTTCAGCAAAGCACTTAAGCGTGTGCTTAAATTGAAATCCATTCTTATTCTGCAAGTCCATTTTGTTTGCTTAAAGCAAAACACATGCTTAAGTCGAGTTTTGCTTGGCACAGTGCTTAGGCACAGTGCAGAGCTAGGGCCTTAGAATTAATTTCTTTCGAAAGGAAGTAATTATTTTTAGCTTAGCTCTCAATGGCTACAGCCGTATCTTTTAGTCCCCAGATAGCTATTTTCAGGAGGTATACGTGCTAAGCCTAAACTTCTGGTTTCTGTGACAATCAGTGGCACAGAAAAGATATGGAATACCGTTACTAGCGTAAAGAAAGAGACCACTTGAAATACTTGACTGCTAAGTACAGATGAGAGGGGCCTTCAGTGAGGCTCATTAAAGGGAAGACATAAAAGAAGCTGTGATTATTCTGGGAGGTGGCTGCTGATACCACGGGTTATCTTTTCACCGTGCTGACTGGATAAGATTCACTTGCAGTAGGTCAACAATTTTAACTCAAAATGTTTTGATGAGTTTTCTGTCACATATTATATTTCCACAGGAAATTTATGATTTCAGGGAGTATGTTTATACTTTCCCCAAAAGTATCAAAAAAGGTTTCGCTGCAATGTGATATTTTCTGTGGGTTTTCTTCCTGAAACTCTTCTTTAATATACAATAAAGTCCAAAAATTATTAAAGGAAATTTGATTTAAAAGAGTTATATTGCTCATGTCTCATACCTCTAGATTTCCTCTCTCTTGTTAAGAAGACTCCTACCATTTGTTTCACAACATATAGTCCTGGCCCACCAAGACCGCGGGTTTTGCTCAGATAGATCTGGCCTACGGCATGTCTGGAGGGGGAACAATTGCATTTTCTAAGAGGGGAATTTTGTGGGGCATTTTGAGGGATGCCTCACTGTGTTCCCTTTAACATCCACACTTCATCCAGAAGGTAGAAATACAAAGATGGGTAAAAATACATTAATTGTTTTTCTTTTTGGGTTAAAAATCTACTTGTGGAGAGGAGATACTACCTTTGTGGTGGCAGTATGAATAAAAACCTCATTCTGACTCCTCCTACTGACATGTAGAAAATACCCAGTGGGAAAGTGCTGTCTTTCCCTCCCCCAGAAGCTTCTGAATTACTTCCAGGTAGAAGACCCCATTTAGCTCTATCACTTGACCACCACGTTGCTTTACTAATCCACCTCCCTTGGTATTTCTGCCTAGGAAAGTATGGTCATGTGGCTGTCATGGAGCTGTCATCCCCTCCAGGGCAGTCTCACAGCGACGGGATCCCAGAGGCAAGCCGACTTTTCTTCACCTGCTTGTTTGGTATCTCTCTGGCTGTCAAGAACAGGTACTTCTTTCCTGCCAAAAGCCTACACTTTAATAAAAATATGTCCTGCCTTTCAGGACAAATATTTTCATGACTGATTCTAGCCTGCTAGGGAGTTGCTAAATCCAGTAGCCCGACAGAGGTGAGGCTGCCGCAGCTCCACACCCCTGCATCCAGTCTGCAGCGAGGTTGCGCATGGATTCCCAGCAGGCTCGTGCACAAACACACAGGTACAAGGTGTGTGTGCACTGATGAGCCACTGGCCGGCACAGACAGAAACACTCAGCACTCACACGAGCAGCACCAAGGGCTCCGTCCTGCTCCCATCTCTGGCAGATCAGGGTGAAGGTCTGTGAGTGCAAAATATATACAAAAATACACATGTACAATGTGGATCCCTCCAGTTCGGAATCCTTCTTCTCCCCAGCTGCCTCCTGCCCAGAGAAACACACATGCACACACACGTACAAACAGGTCTCCGTCAACCCCCAGACCCCACGGGCTCTCAGCTGGCCTGAACCCCCTGGTCTCTCCAGCAGCCAGCTCCTCCATATGCCTCGCCCTGGGAGACACACAGTTCACCTACTTGCCAGTTAGCCTGGCTGGATTTTTGGTAGCCATCACACACTGACGTAACACACCCACACAGTATGCACACCCGCACTCCCTCCAGCTGCTGGCACCACGGACCCGTGGCCCCTCTGACCCGCGGTCCCACTCCCGTTGCTGCCCCCACACCCCACACCCATACATGCACACACACGAGAGCCCCTCACCCAGGAAAAGTTAAGAACAGAGGGTAAGGAGAAGACAGGGCAGACTGCACTGATCAGGCACAGGGCACAGCCAGACGAGCATCCCACCCAGCAGCCTGTGTACATGCAACTGACCTCTTCTATCCCCTTATCCCTCTATTTTCCCACATTTGTTCCTCCCCAACCCACCCTGATCACCCCCTTTCCCCACCTTTGGTTCCTCCCCTAAACATCCCACAAGAAGTCTTGTGCAACCACAAGCTGCTCCTCCCCTGCATCCCACAACGTGTCCCATTCCCACAGGGAATTCCCACAATGGGAGAGCCGCCCCCTTGCTGCTGCGGGGTGTCCCCCCAGGCCACGGCCAGCCCCGGAGGTGCTGGGTAGGGCATTGCTCAGGGTCCCCACCTGCTTTTGCTTCTCTGCTCCTCTGTGCCTGGGGGGGAACATGTTTTTTATCACACACCCAGCTCACAGGCTCTTCTTGCGGGATGTGGGAGGAGGCAGAACGTAGTTCTGACCAGACCCAAGATCACATCAAGTCTGAAAACTCAGCAATAGGCAGAAACTGCAGCAGAATTGTGCTCGTGTTTAGGGCAGATCAGAAGCCATGCGCAGGGGTGTGTTATGAAATATTCACAGTTTTAGTTGGCTTGAAGTGCCTTTTATTCATTCTAACCAAATTGATGCTGACCTTCAGGTTATACTTTCCTTTAGGGACCTTTTACTTTAAAGTCAAGTTTGCCATTACGGACTTTTGCTTTTTTGAGTTACCTCTCTTGGGAAAAAAACCCAACCAAAACAAAACCACACACACAAAAGAAACCCCAAACCCCAAAATTAATTAAACAGAAAAATAAAAAGAAATGCACATTGGGGAAAAAAAAAAAATTCTTCACAAAACTACAAAATACCAGAACGGATATTATGGACATTTCCAAATTTTAAAATTAAAATATACACTTTTGGATAATGACCACCCATGAAAACCAAGGGAATAGTTTTCTGTTATGGAAGAGAGAGCGAAACAGCAGTTAAGAGTGCAGCTCTTGCAGAGTTAACCACTAGGAGGTAAATTAGAAGTTGAACGAAGCATTTTCCAGCCATATAAATCATTAAAGTTTGTTAAACGGTTGTATCCATAACTGAAGTAAGCCAACCATTTAATGAATTATACAACGTGTTATTTTCCTATGCATGTTATTCCCATAGTTTTTACTGTTGTTGAAAGTCCATTTGTGTTTTTTTGCAAATACTTCTAAAATGATGAATAATCTTTACTTAAAAGACTAAAAATACATGCCGGCTATTATCGTATATGAAATCTGACAGCAGTTAAAGCGTTGGTATCTGAACTTACTTGACAGCTTCTTTGAACAACTTTTACTAGGTATTCTTTATAGGATTAAATATTTTTAGACTTGTGCAATTTGTTCTATAAGTAAGTCATGCTAAAGGGAAAGCAAAAATGTTCTCGATATTAGACAACGAGTCTAATGAATAGCAATAGCTTTTCTTGCAATCACTTTTCATTAGAAGTCAAACATCACGATCCAGCTTTCATTGCATATGCATGCAAGGACTGATTCTGAATCCTGCGGAGCAAATAAAGCTCAGTAGAAATTTTAGGTGCTCCAGTGGAACAAGACCCCAGTGTTTCCCATGCTTGCAATTTTTTCATTACAAATGCATTTTATTTGCAAAAAGTTGGCACCGATGGCAGGCAGAGCAGGCCAGATCGCCACTTAACTACACAGGCAGTGGTACAGAGGTCATGCTAGTTTATTGCGGCTGTGGATCTGATCCGGAGGTCTCTGCTCAGCGCCGTCCTGTATTTTGTGCCCACCAGCACCAGGAAGCTGTACGGAGTTACCACAAGGCACCGCTTCGGCCTTGGTTCAGAGAGACCTGCAGGAAGCAGTGACCTGGCCCAAGGGACCTGCTCTTCCGCTGCTTCCAGCACAACTTCCACGCAGGATTTCCAAACACAGCAGCTTTTTGTCCTGAATGTCTGGCTGGTGAGTCTAGTATATCAGATCTGCAAAGTCTGCGAATAATTGGCCCACAAATTATGAATGCAGCAGGAGAGCTTGATTTTTCAGTACTAGGAGGTAGGCAATCAGGTGAGGAGCACAGATAGGACTACACTGGTATGGCATACCACAACGCAGAGCACGTACAGCATTTAAAGCTGAAATTAAGAACTGTTAAGGCAGAGAACCTATCTGAAGATGCAGGACAGGGAAGCAGCTCAGTGGTCCATCCATCCAGGGGTGGCTGGCAAAGGAAGGGAAGTTAGTGCTGGGCAGCTTTCATTCCCGGCATTTATACTGGACCCGGAATGGTGCCGTGGGTTGCTGTGTCCCCACCAAATGTAAAGGGCTCTGCAAAAAGAAGAAAATCAGTAGAAACATTTAGGTTAGTTCAGTGAATGGAATTCTCATCATGCTTTAATACTAAAAGATATAAACATAGTCTTGGAGCTTTGGTCTTAGAGAACCAAGACCAAATACTGAAACTATTTCTTGGCTTTGCTGAAGCCACTGAGTAGAGCCTTCATGATTACTTTTTATTCCACTCACTCTGACAGAGGATGACACGTGAGAGCTTAAGAAACTCTAATGGTTTTGAATATCTTCACCAGCATAATTGCCTGTGGGTGCAGACCCAAGTTACAATCAACTGCAGTGAGAGCTGGCGTGGCAACGCACCACCAGTCAGGAAGAGGCACCTTCCTCCACATTCTGGGTGGACTTTCTACCACTACTTGAGATCAACATCTCACGTTCTTCAAGGAGAGCAGAGGAATTAAGTTCTCCCAGCTTCCGACTTCCAGCCTAAAGGGCAATCATACAAAGCCCATGCCACTCTCAACTTCTCCCTCTTCTCCTTGGCAGTTCAGCTATAGAGCGTGTTTGTCACGTTTAGGCTGTGACAGACAGACATGCTGACTTTGCAGCAGTCCACGTTTGTGAGGAAGAAGGATTTCTGGAAAGTGGAAAGGACACAGTCCAAACAGGGAAGGAAATTACTGCTGAGGGTGGAGACCGTGCCACTCTCCCTTAATGGTAAAACCTCTCTGTGCCACAGTTGCTCCTACAGTCTTACCCTAATCACTTCTCTTCCACCCACCCCTGACTATGTAGTGGAAGAGCACTGCGAGTGCTGCATCTGATTTCATATCTTTAAAGTATTAATAATCCAGTTCCATAGTCATTGTTTTTGTGAATGGCAGAAAGCAATTATAAAATCTCTTGTAATGTTTAGGCAATGGTGAGACAAAACACTCTTGCAGGTGCATTCTTGTATAGACAGCGCAGCCCCACTAACATTGCTGGAGTTACTCTGGGTTTTCTGAGTTAAAATGAAGATCAAGTTATTCATTACATGTTTTATTAACACTCCTCTCAAAATTTTGCTTCATTATACATAACCACAGTTGAACCTGGTTGTTCAGCTGAGCGTGATGAATGAAGGATATAAAGATGTGGAACGCTATCTAAATGCATGGATCTTTTACCTCCTTTGGTACTGCATCCAAAAGCACAAATTCATATTTGTATAGGAATAGCACAACGAACAACTGGATTTCCATGATAGCAAACCACCTGCAAGAAAATGGAGGAAAACATTGGCCATCCAGCCTGACCATCACACGGGTGTTGTCATCAGATAAGAAACAGGGTGTCTTTGACACATTTTACATTCCATGCTTTAGTTCTGCCTGAAAGTTTATCTTCAGTAGGAAAATATGCTGTGGCTTTCTTCGCTGAGCAATGAAGCCGAACAACACGAACATAGCGGCTGCCCCTTCATTCCGGTGAAACGTTAGACCGACAGTATCCCTCTGACACCCTATTTTAAAACAGCCCCTTATCATTATGGTTTTTTCCACTGGGTAAACATTTATGTTCTTCTAACGCTTGCTGCCTTGATATAATTTCATAGGAGTGAGAAGACAGTCAAATATAGAAAAGGCTATATGACTAATTGTGCTATATAAAGTTATATAATACAGCTGGGAGCCTGATGACTTCAGAGTAGCTGTGACAGCAGGAGTTATTATTTAATGCGTCAGCATTAGAATGCAGTATGAGGCCCAAGGGCATGAGTTTTTTTCTGTGACGCTCTCAGAAAAGTCCTTCTTAGTCAGTCCGGAGAAGATTTCAGATAACTGCAGGTGAACCCCTCTAGGCTATTATTTTTTAATGTTGGTATGTACAAGAGCTTTCTGCATTCGGGCACTAGCATGCGCCTACGCCAGACCACGGGATTACTCACTTGCAGAATTTAGATGTAAGTTTTAAATACCTACTTAAAATAGTAATACTACCTTGGTCTTCTACACAGTTTATTTTCCATTATCTGAGAGATGCTGGAAAACTTGGATAAAACAGCTATTGGGGAATTCACTGGGGAGAAGGCCACATGACTGCACATGGCGTCAGCCTGGATTTGGCCTGGCAGGTGTGAAGAGGAAGCTAATAATCCCCACGAGACCCAAGCTAACTCCTGCAGAGCCATCCAGATCTGCGCACGGAGCCACCCTGCGCTCCCGAGTGGGAGGATACTTGTTTGTTTTGGCATAGCTTCAGACCCGAATTATCTCCGTGATTTCACATTGGAATTACCTTGAGATAGGGAGCTTTTGGTGACCTTGAGCTCGGGGGAATGCAGTGCAGAGAGATTCCAGTAGAAATTAGCTCAGGTCAGGCAGGACTTGCTAACCCAAACTCCACACCAGCAGCACCGCACAAAGGTGGGCTCCTCACAGTCACTGCACTGGTTGCACAGTGCGGTCCTTGAGGTCCCGCCTCTGAGCCATCCTCACTGGGTTGGCATGGATGTACCATGATGCAGCCAAATGCCAAAATGCCTCTAGGTTGCCCTGAAAGTGGAAATGCTGCATTTACAGAGGGCTGTCCTTCAAACACAAGCACAGCTGGATGCAGGCTGACCAGCTCTGATACCTCCATACCTGCGGCGGGGTTCGGCTGCAATCTGCCCGAGCGGCAATGGATGTAACCGGTAACTGACTGCGGCGCTTCATAGAATCATAGAATTGTTAAGGTTGGAAAAGACCCTTAAGATCATCGAGTCCAACCGTTAACCCAGCACTGCCAAGTCCACCACTAAACCATGTCCACAAGCACTGCGTCTACCCGTCTTTTCAATACCCCCAGGGATGGGGACTCAACCACTTCCCTGAGCAGCCTGTGCCAGGGCCTGACTACCCTTTCGGTGAAGAAGTTCTTCCTAATATCCAACCTAAACCTCCCCTGGCGCAGCTTGAGGCCGTTTCCTCTCATCCTATCGCTTGTTACTAGGGGTAGATCTCAAAGTGCTTTCTTTTCCCAACAGGCTGCTGTTGTTATTCTGCTCTGCAAACAGAGACGCTGAGAGACAAGGACGATACGCAACACACATGTCCGAGGGGGGCCAGAGGGACAGTCCAGGAGTGAAAGGCAGGACTGCGGAGTCCCAGTGCATCCTTCTCTCCCACAGCGCATTATACTGAGCAGAAACCATGAGCTTTCTTGCAGCTAAATGCCCACCTCTCTTTCGTATTCGTGACTGAGTTCTAGAGCAGTTTTCCTGCAGAAACTCTGAGTCACGGCTGCCTTCTCATTTTATTTAGTCACAAGGGGGTTTGACAAGGATGTGCTTTCTGAGATCTTGCCCCCAATGCACTGCTACATATTGGTGCTGTGCTGGAACCCAGGAGCCCAGCTGTGGATTGAGGTCCTGCAGTAAATGGAGTCTGAGAATGAAATCGTGGCCGTTGTGCTGAAGGGTTTACAATGTCAGCATAAGATAGGAGACAACAGACGGAGCCGTGCAAGACAAGCACAGTTGCACAGGCAACAGTCACCTGGTTTGACAAAAGTAGCTTCACTGCCATCAAATTTTTCTTTTAGGTAAGAGAAGATGGCTCAGAAATGGCTTTGTAGGAGCTCTTCCCAGGTCAGTTTGCTAGAATATTTGACAAGTAAGTTATTATCTAGCTTTCAGTTTGATCAAATTAGCTTTTTAATTTCATGATGAACTTTTGCAATGGAGAAATGAAATGTTTCATACATTTCATTTATAAATGACAGCACTGAATTAAATGAAAATGCATCTTAAACTTGAAATATCATTGTTTCATTCAGTCATACCAAAGAAATCTGCAACCTGGGATCTAGATACATCCCTTGATTTCATTTCCTTTCTTCCAAGACCACCACATTATTCTTTTAGAATTACTGCTGAAAAATGTGAAGGTGTGTGTTACCATGTGGACTGCCAAAGGGTCTGAAAGGACTATTTGTCTCTCAGCAAGAAAAAGATTCTCCACCTGTTGTCTATGTAGAAATGTTATCATTTTCTTTCTAACCTTAAACTTATTTTAAAGATATTATCAGAGTGCAGAGAACAGCCCGAACAAAGAAATAGGTCAGTATATATAAACAAGCAGCTTTCAGAAACATTGTTTTGTAGCTTGTCCTGTACCTGCGGATGCCTCTTGTGAATTCTGCTGTCGCCCTTGCTGGGAATGAGGCTGTGCTCATATTTAGCTCAGGACTATGGTACAAGTCACGGAGGTACAGCAGTGAGTGAGCACTTGCCTCCGGCAAGCCTAAATAGTGAATGCAGGTTTATTCATTTTGTTTATGTCTTTAATGCCTTCACAAAGTTTATCTGACAGTCGTGTCCAGCCTCCTATAGGGTGCAGATTCAAGAATCCAGATCCTCTGCAACACCCTCTGGATTCCTTGCTCCACATGGGACTCTTGAGTTAAAGTGACTAGTTTTAAGGATTCTTGGTTACTTGCTTCTGAGAGGAGACCAGGTTTTGAAGGCAGAGAATTGAGCATAGATGTTTGAACACAGGAAAGAGGAGCAGCTGGCTCCCTGGGACTTGTTCCAGGAAGAGGGACAGCAGAGAAAACAGCAGAAGGAATGCAGGAAGCATCGAGGCTGGCATTGCTGGAGGAGTGAAGAGAGACAGGATCTGCAATTTAAGCCATTGTACAATTGCGTGGGCCTTAATGCAAAGACAAGATTTAAACAGAGAGGAGAGAGTTAAAACATATGAAGATTAGCAAAGATATCAGTGGCATCACAGAGGATGACAAGAGAGTCACACACCAGAGAAATGTTCTTTAGGTTAGTTTAGAACTGGTTTATGGCAACCTAAAAGCCTGTGTCTGTAAACTGGCATGTTTGTAAGTGAAACAACTCTCCCTTGATGAAAAGGTACCTCAGCAGCAGCTGAAAGTTGACTTTCCTCCCTGGGGGATAGCCCTTGATACGCTGGTCTCAGATTCTGCTTTTATATCGTGACCTAACCTCTCTTTTCCAGGAATGAAACCACTTTCAAATCAGTTTAAACAAGGTCCAGATAATACTGAACATTAAGGCACTGACAAAGAGCAAAGCAATGAAAACACTTTATCTCCAAGTGTAAGAGGAGCCCAGTTCAAGAGAGTTGTTCTCTGCAGGGTTTGGGAATAAATAAACCCCAGCTGTTTCACTGACCTTCCTGGACACTGATGCTTCCCTCCTCCGAATGCCACAAAGCTGTCCAAGAAAGCATTCTTCTCTAAATTTGCCTCTTTCCAACGATCCTGTGGGAAGAAACTTTTTTTTTCCAAATCAGCCTTATATAAATAAAGCTTAACTTTATTTCTCCAGGCTAAAAATGACCTTGGACAGCTAATCCTCAATACAGAGTTGCATTAACGCAGTTTTTTGCATTCAACCTGTTAGTGTTGGGAGTCTGGATTCAAAAGTCAGCACCAACTCAGGGAAAGAAATGAGGGTCCCATCTCCAACATACTTAGTGCTGGAGAGGTTTTCAAAATCACCCCTAAAGCATTCTTCCTATACCTCCCCATTTTTCTAAATCCTGCGTCTCGAGCATGCCTACAAAAATGCGACCTTCTCCTTTTAAATATATGCACATTCAAAGCAAATGTTCAACCCATACCTTCCCTCAGCCACAAAATCGTATGACGGCACACAAACGACTCGTGCATGTCTGGCACACAAACCGTTTCTAAGACGCTGTGCACAGATAAATGCCAGGTGTCTGAGCCGTCACACAAGAGAAAGGCCAGGATTGCACCGTCCCATTCTCAGGTGCAAGCCAGTGTGTGAGAAAATGAACTCTTCTCAACAAAAACGACCTGTCTGTACCCAGAGGGCTCCTTGCTCCATCAAGTTGCTTTAAGAGCAAAGGAACAACACGAGAAGCAAAGCAGTATTGGCTAAAGTTTGGGTGGGCGACACTGACAGAAGTAAATCTCTTGAATGCTGGGCGACAAACTATACCAGCCTCCAGAAACTCCGTGCAACTCTACCAAGGCCTTCAGGTAACACCCCGCCAAGTTTATGGTGGCTAACTCCTCTGAGGAACCTGTCTTAGAGAAGATGCAATCTTCTGTTTGTTTATTTTGGATTTTTTTTCAGCTTGGGCTGTTTAGAGCTTTCTGAAGAGGAAACCTGTTAGCATCGAAATCCAATGAAAGCAAGACAAAAAAATCTCAGTGGTGACGAAGCAAGGCGATACCATTTGGGACGGCAATGTCCAAGGGGTACTCCCCTGTTCCTCATGGAAAAAGGGTGAGTTTCTAAAAAACAAGCTACCTTGCCTTTTAGGAATAAAGTTACTAAAGAAATAAGCTGCCGCATCAAGGTTTCTGCTTAGGGTTTCAGACAAGCAGGGATTGTTACGAGGGATTTCAAATTGCTGAAGAGTTTGCTAAAAGGCAAGTTTTGTTTAAATTACTCCTTGATGTATTTCTATAAAAAAGACAAACCGTTTTTCAGCGGATGGTGCTAAAAAGAGCAGTAACAAGCCTGCCCACGCGGCCACCTGGAGTGGAATAATAATCAAGAAACTCTAGATGAGCTACTGAATTAGCAGAGCTAATATCTACCCGAAATCATCTGACTGGAAAGACCAATGAGCCTGGGTAAATACGTGGAGATGAGCTACACAGACAGATGCCAGGGGGAGGAGAGCACTTGGAGCTGGGTTCAACAGTGAAATCAGTGGGGTCTTTCCACGGTGGGCTTTGAATCAAGACCAAAGTGATATACAGTAGCACCATATTATTTGGAATATAGAACTGAACTTTAAAGTCTTGCTTATTCCTACAGGCTCCTCCTTTTTGTGCACATCTTCTCTGTACACGAGGCCATCCTCCAGACGATGGGGAATGCCCCACTTTAAGCCAATTTGTCCATGTGCTTTAGTTGTGAAATAAAGAGGAGAAAAGACAGCAAAATACCCATGCTAGGAGTGACAACTTACAGGTTTGAACATTTCTGGGTCAGGAAAATATTTTGGATTCCTGTGCAACCAATACGGCGACAACATCAGCATGTCCCCTGCAGGGACGGTGAAATTCTGGAAAGGAGAAAAAACTCTTAAGAAAAGAGAAAATCACGGGTTCAGCTCACAAAACAGTCCCTCCTTAGTACTTCTCTTCCATCAGCAGAAGGTCCTAACAGAGGACAAGTAAAGGTGGTAAAGCCACGGTGGGCATATTACACGTTTGAAGCTTCTTCTTGCTGTTGCCCTTTTTTCCATAAGAAAGACCTAAACAGTAGAGAATGTGGAAAGACTATTTTTGTTCTTATTTGGTTTTTCAGGTATAGAAATAATAGAAACATTATTTCTGGCTTTCCCACTTCTTGACGTACCATGTGAACTGGTATTTTTTTCTAAATCTTTTGTTAAGCACTTCCTTCAAAGCACAAAGAACTTCACAGAAAGACTTATATGACAATAGACCTTTACGGGACTTTAGTAATTTCTTAAATGGGCATGAGTGCCGATTCCTTAAGAGAGAGTGTTTTTCTCCCAAATATTTATTTGTTAGACTCCTGAACGCTGGCACTTCCCCTCTAAATGGCACTGAAGAGAACAAACAGAAAAGAAGGAGCTTTATCAGTTAATAAATCATGGTGCCTTTTACTGTATTTATTGTGTCCGATTACTATTTCATAGAGCATCAGCGCAGTATCTCCAGCTCAGTTCAATTTAATTTAAATTCAGTTCAAAACTGAAGGTAAAACTATGAGCAAAAAAAGCAAAACCACTCTTAAATTAATGACAATTAAAATAACGAGGATGAGTAAATCTGTTAAACTAAACAGAAGTTATATGTGAGATTGTGGAATATCTCTACTATTTTAATTTTATCTAGATCTATTGGGAAGCCACTTTCCAGACAAAACATACAGCCTCCTTTTGGGAAAAAAAAAGAAAAAAAAGAAAAAAAAGAAAAGAAAAGAAACTCACCTGAATTCTTATTGGGTTTACTACTTTCTTGGTGATTGCACCTGGAGACCTCAGCCGTATGGCTTCCAAAGTGCACCATTTAATAAAAGGGAGCTTCTTAAGGTCCTCTTCAGAGACTTCTATTTTATCTTTACCTGTTGTGGCATGAGAAAGAAGAGACTGTGTAAAAATTAGATTTCATACTTGTTTTGATACATGCTGACATGCCTTGCTTTAGACCTTCTGACAGAATACCTCAAGACTTTAAGACTTTGTTTACACCCAGAAATTTTCTTTATATTTCAAAGTAAATAAATGGACCAAAATCAGTACAATTTAAGAAAAGCCACTGAAGATAACTTAATAACTCTAAGGTAGCTGTAGATACAGCATTTGCCAGAAGAGGCCAAACAAAGTTCATCTTGGAAGTTAGGAGTCCCTGGACTTTTTCAGTACTTTGGTAGGACACGGCGTGGGAATCTCAGGGACTGTAGGCACCAAGACAAGTAGTCAAGGCTGAGCCCTTGGGCTATGTTAACATTAGCAAATAAAGCAGGGCCAGGAGAAAGGCTTAAGCACTGGTTCACGATTATCCTTATTGGTTAATTATTGGCATGTTCCTTGATGTGGTTTTGACTCATGTCAACCAAGAGTCGTCCATGAAAGTCTAAGCCTCGTTCAGGGGACTGCATGTGTGAATAACTGCTCCCAGTAGGTGACTGTTTTTTGAGGGAAATGGAAAGAGATTAGTCATGTGGGGGTGAATCCTGCTGGACAAACTGGCCTCAGATGAGAGAAAAGACACCAGTTTCTGGCCTGTTTTTGCACAGAGCAGCTGTAACTCTGGGGAACATCACACCATGAAAAGCAGCTGAATTGAAAGACCTCATCTGACCCTACCATAGATGCATGAAAAAAGCACAAGACTCATTAATACAAATCTAGTTTTAAATGATAGGTGAGGAACAAAGAGACAAATACACACGGTTCTTTTTCTACCTTCTTTTGCTAACTTCAAAGGTGTTTTTGCTTAAAAATATGTCTTGAGCATACGCTGAGTAAAGAACTCTGAGCTGGACCCTATGTTATCAGTAGTACCCTCAGCAGCAACACTTGTTATTCCCAGCCATTGCCCATTGGCCGTGTGCTGGGCCAACACAGAATAAATCATTTCTAGGTTCCAGAAGGACGTGATCAGATTTATTACCTGCTTTGCCAAAAACAGAAGCCAGGTCTTCCATGATTTTCTTGTAAATGGAAGGATAAGACAGTATGAAAACAAGGGTCCAGAATGCAATCTAAACAGAGATGAAAGTACTTTAACTCAGGAATATGGCACAGAATTACAGTATCTTTGTAGCACATCACAGAGGCAGGTGAAAACACTGGCACTTTTTTTGGATGTGCCTGTTGTAGCTGGGATGCCCGGGGAGCTGTGCTTCCAGGGTAAATCCACATCTAAGGGCTCAGATCCTGGGAGATTAGGTCTAGTCATCTGCTGTGTACTTATCTTCAGTGAACATTACATAGCTTTGGCTTTGAGCTTTGAGACACAGAATCCTTTCTTTAATTTCCAATAACTAGGTGTTAAAATGAATTACTAAATCATTGTGTGTGACTACATTTAGCAGCATGAATGGAGGAAAAATTGAATAGTAAATTCCTACTAATATTAGCAGAAATGAGGTGATATAATTTGCAGGGCATCGACACAGTGAGTCGCACTAAGATGGGCAGGAAAAGTTTTCATTAACAGCAAAACAAGCAGTGGTATATCCCCTTTAGAAATAATTTGCTAACTGATTATGCAATGAAGTTGAAAATCAAGAAATTTAGGAAAGGAGAAAATCCTCTTAAGTCGGATGAAACCAGAAGGACTCGCAGCACTGCCAGGACTCCCTCCCCTCTTGCTGAGCTAGCAGGAGATGCAGCCTGCACGCAGATCTGGTCGTGGGCCATCTGTGCTGGTGAGGGATGAGAACTCTTCCTGTTATTTCCCAAATAGCCCCACATGGATGCAGCCCTCCTTCTGCAAAACAAATCTGGTCGCTTAGTTTTCTTGTGCAGCACTTGGACGCCGTGGCTTCGCTCCATGGGCTGAGGAGGGATAACGGAATTGTTTCAGATAAAAGGGTTTAACGCGCTTGTAAAAATTCCCCTTGGAAGGTGAAAGGCCTTTTTTCATCATTCCAGTCCCTGGAACAGTGGTTGTGACTATTCTGAGAAACAACGAAATATCTGTTTGTCTATTTACAGCTGAATATTACAGAAGTAAGTAATGACAGTGTTGTGGAAGGAATGTCAGTTATCCTGATAACAGACGGCAGGCTATGACTCTCACTTATACCAACATGTGAATCCACAGAAACCTCACTGAAATGGATGAAATTCCTTTAGGGTAAATTGTAGCAATATCCAGTCTACAAAAAACATAGATATATCCACTAGGAGTACATATAAAAATAACTCACTGTCGTTTTTTTCTAAATCACATCTGTAACGGACGTAACTGTGCTGGAAAGAGCTTAGTAGTCATGGTCAATAAAGGATGTTTTTGCTGCTATGGATTCTTCATCTAAGAAATACCTATAAACGTCTTTGTCCAGCCTAAGCTGTGTTAGATATATCGGGCTTGTTAGCATGCATACATCTGTATCATTAATCTGTCAAATCCGTTTCTAACACAGACAAAACTTAAGTGGCAGTAGAATCAAACTATTGCTTTTCTTCCCCTGAAGCAACACTGGCATTTGTATAGCAGATCCCCCAAAGCGAAAGAGCCAAATTCACTCAAGGATTTACACACAGATGAAGTTACTCTATATTATGCTTTTGATATTCTTTGCAATTGATAACACCAGGCTATTTAAAATAGAGTCTCTACTATAATACAGCTACAGTGCTTCAAAATAAAGTTAAATGCTCTTCGCAGCTTAAGACTGGGATCTGAATAGCTATGAGACATATGTTCCCGAAATCTTATGATAGAGGACATAATAATTTAGGAAAAAAACAAGAAGAGCTTTTCTTGTCATCGCTTCTGTGACATTGCAGCCTGGGTATATTTGTAGTGATGCATGTGGGAGTGATAATCCTTTCTTTGGAATACACGCAGTGTGTGTGACCTCTGGTTCAAAGTCTTTGCTTTCCAAATAACAGGCTTCTGAACAGGATCGAGAGAAGGTGTTTCTGTAGCCGATGTACTTACAGGGACAGCATTTGCTTGGGAAGCCCACAGCATCAGGAGACCATAGTTGGGAGCTAGATGTTTTCCTTGCAAGTGATCCAGGAGATGGTGCAGTAGGGTCTGTTATAAATAAAAGATAATAATGTGTATTTCCAAAAACATACTAAAATCTAGTTTAGGGTAGGGCTTACCAGAATTCAAGGATATAATGTACGACTAGTTTATCAAAGAGAAGTAATGTTAGTTATGGTTTTTTTTGCAGTCACAAAGCAGAGCTGACAGCTGTTAGGAGAAAGTGAGACTCACTCCTAGGCAGAGGGCCAGAAGAAGTCAATGCACCACGTGAATCCCTACTGAATACTTGCATTGCCCTCCATTTTCTTAAAGTTTTTAGGGGATTTGGTTCCCTCACTCCCCATTGTTGCCTGTATGTGGAAGAAAGAAAAAAGAAATCTATTCTTTTTTAATTCCTGCTCTACTTCTCTACTTTAAAGAACCTGAAAATGGGACTGAACAAGTTGAATGAATGGAAATGAAGAAAATGTTCTCTCTGTTCCTGCCAAAAAGGTGCTTGTTATGAAGAGATGGTCTGATACATCAGCGAGCTCCCTAGCTCCAGGTGCTTTGGTGGTGACCTAACCAGTGACTTCAATGCCTTGATATTCTTTGAAACTATAGCAACTGTGTAATGTTCTAGGATCAGCTTTTGTTTATAGTATTTCCTTAAATACAGGGCAACCATGCATTCAAGGCAAAGCTACCTGTCTGCTTTTCAGAGGGGAAAAGGCTGACCTTGAATAAAAAATGACCGCCCTTCTTTCCACGTTCCCACCCAATCTAAGACACTGAGTTTGTGCCTCCTACTTCCTGCACCTTCTTACCTCCCACCACCCCCTCTCCAGCCCTCTCTGTCCTTCCATTATTCTGGTTTATTTTATGAAAGAAACTGTGGTATGTAAAGCTTTTAAAGTCTAAATAAAACCTGGTTTGTTTAATGATCTGTTCTATAATCATTTGGTAGATCAAAATTCCCAGGCCAGTCTGCCCTCGCGTTTGTCAGCCGTACAGACAGAATTCTTGCCATAGCTAAGGAGAATAACCAGGGGGACAACTTATCACAGCTTTGACACAATCAATATTTAGGGTACTTGGCTTCCAATCCAGTAATCTGCTATTTTCTACTCGTCTGGCTGCTGGAGGATCTACTCACTCTACACCAGGGTTTAAAAATAGTACATCGAAGGTTTTGAAATTTCACAGCGTGGTGCCCTCAGAGAAATAACTGAAGAGGTCTTTCTCTCACCTCTTTCAGCTGCTCACTGCAACTGCGATACCAGAGGCTGGCGATGGGTCATAGCTCTGAACCCTTGGCTTAAAATTCCCCAGCGGAAGATGTCAATTCTCAGAATTGTAGGAAATAAACTAAACTGAGGAGTAGGACTCAAAATTATGGGTCTGTCCTACTGTAGGTGACAGCAATACCAGACAACTAAGGTACAGCTATCAAAGCTGACATATTTGGCTTATTTCTTCCAGTACTGAAATAATTCCTGCCCTCCATTCCTTCAGCAAAGGAATACATACAATATATAGAACGAAGTCATCTTATTTCGTAGCCTCGGATGTTTACCTTGGATGCGGTCTCTGCAGGGTTGGTCCTTTCAGCATCTGACACTACTTTCTCAAATAATTTTAGAAGCCATTTTTTGGATTTAGACCAGTTCCTGTAAAGAAAAGCAACAAACCAGAAGCAGTTAAGTGAGGCAGCACAAACCGACATTTCCTTTTCCGTGAGGACTCTGTGGTTTCTTTCCAAAAGCCCCTGGGCAGCAGTCAGTTGATGAATAGTCCGACAGTAGTGTCGACTTCACCTTGGCCAGACCTCATCTTGCAGCCAGCACCTGTGACTGTAAGACTCCCAGATTTTCATGTCTATTCCACTACAGGTTTTCACTGTGGCTTTGCACAATCGCGTAGGTCAATCTTTTCAAGAATGACCTCCCCTGAGAAAATGAAGGCCACATTTTTAGAGCATCCTTAGTTCTTTCTGAAGGCTATTTTGAGGTGCTCAAAGTGCTGTCATGGCCCCGAGAGCACTGACAGGCTCCCTTCCTTGGAGTCTGGTTGCCTCTACCCAAGGTCAGCTCTGCGACAGTGCAGCCATGCAACCTGGGATCAGTCTAGGAAAACATTTAAAGTGTGGGAAAGAGCAGAGAGATGCCTCACGGGGGACCCCCGCAGCTTGGGACTCACATTTAGGCTCAGACCTTTGCCATTTGCCCAGTTCTGCTGCTCCCTGACAGCTCCAAGCCGGACCCTGCCCACCTAAGCAAGGTTGTTTCTGCTTTATGCCAGGAAAATGCAGGAGACAAGGTCAGAACTTTTTTGAAGCACCTAGCTGAAAGCCTGCCTGACCCAAGGGTGCACTGTCGATAAAGACAGTTCATCATCCTCCAGGGGAAATGTCTCTCACGGTTGATATCCCAGCAAGCAAAAAGCCTGTAATGGGTACACCACGTGCATCATCCCCGCTCCGTTACCTCAGGAAGCACTCGGGCATCTGAGAAGCGTATTCGAAGTCTTCGTCATACTTCTGAAAATGTTCTTCAAACTCCTTGATTTCACTCTGACTTGTCGGGCAGATGCCTTTCCCAAACAAAGTGTTCACCACTGCTGGATACATGACATGCCTGCAAGGACAAGATCCCCATGACTTACAGGCCCCAGGGAAGCTGGTGCAGCAGTTTTAGGTCAGGACGCGGCACGCTGAATTGCCAACACTACGAGTGCAGGACTCGAGCGTCACGCGAGTATGGAAGGGCTGGCACAAGGCTCCTACCTCACTCACACGCTTACGGGAGATTTTAAGCAGAGGCGGGGAGATACACGGACCTCAGGCTAGTCCTCTGCCTGTGGCTGAACTTCATCAGTTAGCGTTTGGTCACTCAAGCAGTGGCAGAAAAGCTCTGGGTGATGACATCCCCTTCTCCCCATCAACCACCCCTCTTATTTCAGCTTAGCCCAGGTGGACCTTCTGGGCATTGCGCAACCCCTTCTGCAGCCAGACACCCTGAGAAATCCTTCCTCTGGCTGCAGCTTTGCTGGACTGAACAATGCTTCTTTTGTTTTCTTTTTATCTCGCTCCTTCCTATTTTCTCCTCTGTTATCCTGCAGACTCTGAGCTCATTCCCCAGGCCGCTTCACCTGTACTCCTGAGCTCTGAGAAACCCTTATGCAGTCTTTGCTGGGTTCCAGCCACTGCTAAACACCTATTTCAGGCAAGGGCTCTTTCACTTTCTTGCTTTTCTACAGATCATAAGGAAGATGGAGCCACCTGCTGGCTCTATGGATTTAATTTTGAGGCAGCTAAACAACAATTATGCAGGGCATTGCATTCCAATTCTTCTATCCTGTGTTGTCTGGCAAAATCATAAGAACAGATGACAGCAGATTTACTGTGGATGACTCTTATGGTCACAGCCTCCTTCAGGCATCCCCCTGCTCCGGCGTGGGGTCCTCCATGGGCTGCAGGTGGATCTCTGCTCCAC